GGTTAGCTCCCTCTGTCTCCTGGATGAGAAGCAGGGGCAGGTTCAAGATGATTCAGTTTTCAGATAATTCTTTTCATTAGTATCTGTTTCCAGACAGCTTTATCTCAATTTTGTAAAAGGCTGCAAATGTTAATTTTGATGAACCATTGTTCCACAAAGGAAAGCAATCATATTGGAATTCTATGTGATATTTCTCCTGCTTAATTCTCCTGTTCAGTTCCACAGAAGCATTTCAGTCTTCACTCCTTTAATGCATTCACCTGGAATCCCTGAATTATTTGATGATGTTTTGATACTGAATCTTAAGCTAACACAGTTTGGTTGTCTGCTTTTAGCTATAATTGAATCTGCAGGGTAAGTCCTGTGGCTTCTGGGAACCATCTCGTAAGGCCTCTTATTTTCATTTTAAAAACAGATTAGCTTTCTTTGCAAAATGTCTAATAATATCAGAAGTACATATTTAGTAACAATTATATTCTGGGTAGAAGCATAATCTCTTCACAAACATTTCCTCTGATGTTAAGTGTTTTAGTCAATGCAACATGTAAAAAGTTAAGAAATCTCTGATGTTGGGGAATCCCTCCTTCTACTTTTACAACTTTGAATTATCCAAATCATTGCTGGGCTTTCGTTTGAACAAAATAATTAAACACCTGTCATTGAACTGTCTGTGCCTGCCCTAGTTGCATCCAATTTTCAAATGACTAGTTTCCTATGCTGTGCTCCGGTATATGCACACAGGCTCGCATGCTATGCAATGAAAATGTGGTTTCTTGCCTCATACTCTACTGAGCTATTGATTTTTATTGTTCAATAACTATAAAACAACTATATTAAAAGTCGACTCTTGTTGATCTATAGTTTTTTGCAGCCTCTAAGGGGAGGATATGTTCCTGTTCCCTTAAAGCAAATCAAATCTCTCTTACATTACCACCGATGTTTGATTCTATTTACACCTTTTGGTTGACAATAGACTCATGGTCATCATTAGACTCTTAACTCCAGATTTTTTGTTGTTGAATTCAAATTCCACCATGGAACCTGGGTCCCCAGAGCACTAGCTGACTCTCGAGATTAACAGTCCTGTGATAATATCAGAGGACATCGCCTATGTTACCACGTAACTGAAAAGTTTGGTTTACAAACAGGACGTCGATTGATTGTCAGGGAATCCCATGCGTATGATGTAAATTTCAAAAGCCAGTATTTCTGCCAACTCCATGGGATTCCTGCCCAAAGACTACTGTTTAATTACTCCTATGCAAACTCATTTTCAAATATAAGCAGAAGTTATTGAAAGACACCTTCTCTTGGTAACAAGCAATCAAAAACATTACAATGGTTGTCGTCTAATGAAGTATTTTGTTATTAGTCAAATTCCAATCCCAAACTTATCTGTTTTAAAATTATTCCAGGATTTAAATTAATCTATGCATTTTTTTTTCATCATTAGGAATGATCCGCAATTGCTGAAAATGCTCATTTTGTCCAACCAGTTATCAAAAGCCTTTAGACAAAAGGCACAAATAGTTTGCAGATTTTAGTGCAAACATTAGTGCTTTCAATAACCTTTTATTTGGCAGCAACAAGCTACTGAATCTTAAGCTAACACAGTTTGGTTGTCTGCTTTTAGCTATAATTGAATCTGCAGGGTAAGTCCTGTGGCTTCTGGGAACCATCTTGTAATATTACAATGAGCACGAGACCATAGCTTGTATTTCCCACAGCTTGACAGAAACCAACATAACAATATTTTTGTAAGATAACAAGGTGTGGAGCTGGATGAACACAGCAGGCCAGGCAGCATCAGAGGAGCAGGAAAGGTGATGTTTCGGGTTTGGTCTAAAAACTGCCTGGTCTGCTGTGTTCACCCAGCTCCACACCTTGTTATCTCAGACTCCAGCATCGGCAGTTCCTACTATCTCTGAGTGAATACTTTTGGAAAATTACATTGCGAACAGATGAAATCTTCAAATTTTTATATTATGCCAATATATTACTAAATATTGCACACATGTAACTGTGCTAAGGCATCATTAATCTTTACAAAAAGACAATGACATATATTGACAAGTTCCATTTAAATAACGCTAGATGCCCCAAAGAGCCACGATGTCAATGTTGTTTTTGTTAAATGTAACCATTGATATAGGAAAACCTGGCATCCAAATTCCTCCACCCATCCAACACGGTTCTACGAACAGCAAAGTAATGCATGTCCAGATAATCTATTTCAGTGATGCTAATAGAGGGATAATTGATCAGCAAAGGAGTCTACTGGTCTTCCAGAAATAGAGGTTTGGGATAAGCTATCTAGAGGGTAGACAGGGACTCTCTTTAATGACTCATCAGAAAATTAAATGCCACCACATCTGACAGAGCAGCATTCATTCAGAGCTGCACAAGAGGTGTCAGTGTGGTGTCCTCAGGATTCTGGGCTCATGCTTACAAATTGACTCAAATACCAACTGACACCCTGGGCTTTACAAACAAAACGCGAGTTCTGAGCATTCCCCAATGTAGTCAAAACTCAAGTGAAAAATAAAGGGATACAAGAATCCCATTTCATACATACTTTCCAGATAGAAATATAGTCACCAGCTTTGAAAACTGGAATGAAGAGCAAGGCACAAAATTTGTTCAGAACCACTGACTGTATGCAGAGTTCACTTCAAACAACTGTCATGTCCGAAACTTATCAGTTTACTGCTACATCCTCCCCACCCTACCACCGTTATCAACATATATAGTACTTTCACCTAGCTATTATCAGTTCTGAAGAAGGGTCACGGATTCGAAGCGTTAACTTTGCTTTATCTTCACAAATGCTGCCAGACCTAATGAGTTTCTCCAGCAATGTCTGTTTTGTTTCAGGTCTTCAGCATCCGCAGATCTTTATTTTAACTTGTAAAAATGTGTTGGATTGACTTCGTAAATGGCTGACGGAAGTTGAAAGTGAATTTCAAGCTTTTCAAATCCTGAAACCGAGTAGTTGGATACTTCAAATAGTTCAATCCTACAAAACACCCAGGTGCAAGGTTCAACCTTCGGATCTCCTTAACTTAATCCTGCAGAATGTTAGGACACCAAAATCCTATTTTATAATCAGTAATGAGTTTTGAAGAGGGTCTGAAAGCGAATGGACATGCGCTCGAAACCTCTGGCCGTCACGATGGAAAGACGCTTCCAAACTGCGGAGAACGTGGCTCCGTGTCCATACGTCGTGGGGAGACCTTGGAAATTACATTGGGGTGAGCTCGCCGCCTCCCGGGGAGAATGGGTGATACACCCCGAGAACAAGCGGCGTTTTACTGATTCGGGGAGAGGAGGGAGCGGGGACGACGGGACAGCGGCAACTGCGGCTGCGCTGAGTGTGGCTCTACGGCGTCCGCTTTGCGCCCACATAAAGTGGCCGCTGCGGCGGCTCCGGCTTATTGTTGCGACGCTGCTGCCGCAGTTGCTGCTGATGTCGCTTATGGCTGAGGCTGTTGCCCCTGCACAGGTGGATCTCTCGTCACCAGCGACGATGGCCGCTGCTCCGGCTGCCGCTGCCGCTCCCCTTTCCGCGGCCACCGACATGGCGCCGCCTCCTCTTCCCACCGCGGTCACCAAGAGGAAAAGCGCCTACCGCCCGCAGAAAGCGGCCACCGTAGCTACAGTGGCCGAGCGCATCTTGGAGGCGGTGGCCTTGACTAAAGACCGACAGGGCCCTGCTGCTTTGGCTACTATAATGAGGAAGACCATCTCGGCCGCCAACTACGATATGGAGGGGTGCGGCCCCCGGCTCAGCCACTCTGCCGTGAGGGCGTCGCTCAGTAAAAACCCGTCGGCGCATGTCGGGGCTCCCGTTTCCCTGCAAACACCTAAGGAGTGGGAGGTGGAGGAGAGCTCGGCGCAGAAAAAGGCTAGGGTCAGGAGGCGGTCTCCGAAAAGGGAGACGGCGTCAGCCAAAATGTCGCGTCGAAGCCCCAAGGGGTCGAAAGCTCCCAAAAGGTTGGAGTGCAAATCGAGAAAATGTGCCGTTCGGCGGCTAGCCACAACCAGAACCACCGTACGTAAGCAGCGGTTAGAGAAGAGGAGGTAGGCCCGGGGACGGACAAAGGCTCTTTTCAGAACCGCTTAGACATTTCCACAAGAGAAGCTAGTGGACCTTGACTGGAGTGCAGCTTGTGAAATGGATCTAGTTATTTACGAAAGTTGGTTACTGAGTGGCGACGCAATTTACTAATCATTTACCTAGAAAACTTGTTTGTCGTGTTTTAAACTTTAAATAAAATAAATGAACTACTGTTCCTTACTTTGCTGTAGGTCTTGTGCATTTTTTTTTTCTAATCCAGAGAATGAGCGCCTTCCATCGGTGTGTTAGCTATAGGGCAATAGAAATAAAAGGGTTAGAGGCGACAGGCGAAGCTGGCAACATGCTTGCGCTGGTAGTTCAACAAAACTAAAATCGAGACGAAAGTAATTAAGGTCCAGCTGTGGTTCTGAGGAAGGGCCGCAGACCGGAACTATCTGCGCCCACTTGCTAAATAAAAGCAAACTGTGAAACTTAGGGAGTCGTCTGGACAAAATTATTCCTGTCAGACCGACTTCATTTTCCCCAATTCTACCACATCCACAGTATATTACCAAGCGTGCTGAGTGTAAACTTCAGCTAAGGCTGCGTTAACCATAAAATTATTACTCAGCTATTAAATGTTGACGAAATTCAGTCTGTCCAGATCCGCTGTCCAGCTGTCATCCGTCCACGGCGCTTTCGAAAGACGGATAAGTCCTCACGGCGGCGGCGCGACATTGAATCGTTATGGTCAAAGGTTTCGTCATGCGTCATTTCTGATTGGCTGAGATCACCGAATGAGAGAAAACCGTCTGAACGGTGATGATTCGGAAGATGTCGATTGCCCAATAGGAAACTGTCTCACCGCGATCCTTCATTAGCATGGGGCAACTATATAAATGAGGCGGGCAGGCTGCATCTTTCCGAGTTTGCTGTGATCGGAAGTCATGCCTGAGTCGGTGGCTGTGGCGAAGAGCGCTGCGTCCCGAAAGGCATCGAAACAGTCGCTGAGCAAAGTCGTTAAAAAGCCACCTAAGAAGCGGAGGAAGACTCGCAAACAGAGCTATTCGACTTACGTGTACCGGGTGCTGACCCAAGTCCATCCTTCCACAAGAATTTCGTCCAAGGCTATGAATGTCATGAATTCGTTCGTCATCGATATTTTTGAGCGCATCGCCTCTGAGGCTTCGCACCTGATTCACTACAACAAGCGCCAGACCATATCGGCCAGAGAAATTCAGAGTGCTGTCCGCCTTATGCTGCCGGGCGAACTGGCCAAACACGCCGTCTCTGAAGGCACGAAAGCGGTCACCAAGTACACCAGTTCCACTTAGATTAGCCACGGTAATGAAAACGAATCGTTCCTCCTTTATCAAAAACGGACACAAAAGGCTCTTTTAAGAGCCGCGCACTACTGCCAATGAAGGGCTAAGATCAAAATGTTCGATCAACTTATGGCTTTACAGCAATCTGACTATAATCTTAGTAAGCTACACAAATTTATAAGGCAAACAGCCTTTTAATCAGAAATAGCAAAGGTTTTAGCACAGCACCAAGATAGCTCAGCTGGCCTGTACAGACTTTTCTGCACCGCTCCTTCCAATGAGCTTGTTTTATTCATTTGTACCCTGATTCATCTCGACTAAATCGATTCTATTTGCCTTGATAGCTTCTATATTACTACAGATGTCAAGACTGAAATGGATAAGTTATTAAAAATATGCAATTCTACCTTTGGAACTTTTCCTTAAAGCAACTGTTCTTCACGTGTAGAATCGCAGAAGTACAAAATGACGGGTCTTCCGAAGCAATTATTCGATTAGACCCACAGGGAGCCCTTTTAGTCACATAGTTTTTGTTTTCTATTTTTCAAGTAGACAACCAATTATCTTTTCGAACGTTAAGATCAAATTTATTTTCACAGTCCTTCCACGCAGTTTCATTCCCGACCATTAAAAAGTTTCAGGTTTCTTGCCGATTTTCTTAAACTCATCTTTGACTTCATTCTTTCCGAAAAATTATGCCGGTTGGATAATCTTAAATTGATCATATGGATTATCAGTTTTTCAACAGTGTGCATTTTTAAATTTTGGTTATGATAATTCGTGATGTTACTTCTACATGGAAGGGGATGGTGTTATATTTGATAGAATCAGAAACTTATGTCTATTGATGTAACCTCCAGCTGTATGGAACCATATCTCGTGATTCCAACTCAGTTTAAAAACACCGATGCCGCCCCTATACCTACCCCAACGCACTTTCAAGGAGGCAAATTTAGTAATCAAGTGTTTTCTGGAAGCTTTCCCATCAATTCTACCTGTGGAAAATTCGCTAATCGCTGCAAATTCTGGTGCGCGCTTTCACCGAGATATCACAGGATGTTGAATTTGAGCAAACGGAATGAAGAGCGAATGCTGGATTTTTACTCCAAATTCTTTCATCGTTATTTGAAAATGGCCAAGGCACCTATGCCCTTGCCAATGGTGTTATTACGGCGTTGTTACTGAAATTTAAAAAAAATTCTGAAAACAAACTGAAGTGTTTAAAAAATAACAAAGTTTTTAATCGGTCATTCTGCTTTCAAGAAGGCAACGAGAAAGCTCTGGTGATAAATTTATGTGGCAATGGCAGACGGATTAACGCCATCTGGTGCCCTTGACTCTTGGAAATAATATGTCATTTAAGATTAGAAATATCATAAAGATAAGATTGAGTGTAATGAGAGTAACAATAGGTATTTGTAGAACTATTTGGTTGCATTTGTTAATGACTGGTTTGATGTTGTAATAAACATTTTAAAAATATTAACCAGCATCATGAATACTGCCTAACCCAATCATATCTCTTTATGTTTCAGTCGCACCTCCTTGTATCTTCTCTCAGCTATATTTTCCATTGTAAAACTTTTCCCTTAAATTCATGTCTAGCTTCCCTTTAAATCTAACTATGCTACAGTATATGTTTTAACCACTTCTTGAGGCCACCAAGCCCACGTTCTCCCCGTTCTCTGGGTCAACAGGTTTCATCTGAATTCCCTAATGGATTTCTTGATGGCTATCTTTTTATCCACTCGTCGGCAGCCTTTTTTTCAGGAGAAAGAAAATCCAATTTGTCACCTACTTCCTGATATACACATACCCAGGCATTTTGCTCCCATCCTTGCAATTTTTGCAGCCTCCCCAATGACTATTTTCTTTTTTCTGTAATATGGCAACCAGAGTTGACAAAGAAGTGGCTGGAGTATAGTTCAATTTGGCATACGTTGAAGAATGTATTCTCTACTTTTCAAGTCTGTACTTAATCTATTTTCAAAGAAAACTAGGTGTTTGGTTTGCTTTGTTTAATGGCTGTTATAACCAGTCGTTTAGCATTTACTGATTCATGCATTTGTACTCGGAGATGCCTTCGTTTTTCTCTGTCTTGCATTGATTTGATTTTGAACAGTTCTATCAAAAGTCTCTAACTTCTTTTCATTAGGAACCCAGCTTCTCCAAACTCTGCAGGTGACTGAAATCCTCCAGCCAGAATCATTATTTAGGATAAAGGTTTAAACTAAAGAGTGAGGCTGGCGTTTGGAGGGGGTGATGGTCAGTGGAAAATTATGGAAAATGTTAGAGCTCATTAAACTTTCCTGAACAAGTAATAAGGGAAAGAGTATGCAAAGGGTTAGGAATCTAACCTCAGACACTGCAGATAAGAGGACAGCTGTGAGAAAGGCATGAAGTCAATACAGGACTGAGGATGTTGTACTTAAATGTATGCAATATACAAAACAAGGTGATTGAGCTTGTAGCATAGTTTGAAATTGTCAGGTACGATCATGTGGGTTTCACAGAGACGTGGCTGCAAGGGTTCAAGGTTGGGAGCTAAATATCCAAGGATATACTTATGAAAAGGATAGATGGGCAGAAAGGGTCATGTTGCCTTGTAATTAAGAAATGAAATTAAATCGATAGCAAAATGTGAGATAAACAAGTTGTAGAATTTGTATGGGTAGAGTTGAAGAACAGAAAAGGAGAAAAGACCCTGATGGGAATCGTGTACAGGCCTCGTAGCAATAGTCAGGATGTGGGGAAGAAATTAAATCAGGAGATAGAAAAGACATATAAGAAAGGCACTATTACAGTAAATATGGGGGACTGCTATATGCAGGTGGACTGGAAAAATCAGGTTGGTAGTGGATTGCAAGAAAAGGAATTTGCGAAATGTCTAAGTTTTTTGGAGCAGTTTGTGGAAGGCATCACTGGGGAGCAAGCAATTCTGGATTTGGTGATGGATAGTGAAGTGGACTTAATTAGGGAGCTAAAGTTGAAGGAACCCCCTAGGGGACAGAAACCATAATATGATAGAATTCACCATGCAGTTTGAGGGGGAGAAGCTGGAATCTGATGCAACAGTATTACAATTGAGTAAAGGTAACGACAAAGACATGAGGGAGGAGCTGGCCAGAATTGATTGGAAGGGGAGCTGAGCAGGGAATTTGGTAGAGCAGCAATGGCAGGAGTTTCTAAGAGTAATTTGGGAAGTGCAGCAGAAAATCATCCTAAGGAAGAAGAAACCAATGGTTGGGTGGGGAGGGAGGGGAGGTAGGGTGTTGTGATGAACAAGATATCCATGGCTGACAAGGGATGTCGGGGAAGTATAAAAGGAAAAGATAAAAACATAGTGTGGTGAAGTTAAGTGGGAAACCAAAGGGTTGGGGAGGCTTTAGAAACCAGTAGATAATAACTAAACTAAAAAAAGCAATAAGGGGGAGAAAATGAAATATGAGAGTAAGCTAGTTAGTAATATAAAAGAAGACTGCAACAGGTTTTTTTTTAAAAGATCTAAAAGATAAGAGCGAGGCAAGAGTGGACGCTGGAATGCTGAAAAACGAGGTTGGAGAAGTAGTAATGGGGAACAAAGAAATGGCAGAGGTAATCAATAGGTACTTTGTGTCACTTTTCACAATGGAAGATGCCAGCTGCAAGTCAGAATTTCAGGGGAGTCGGGGGCAGAGGTGAGTGTAGCGGCCATCACGACGGAAAAAGCACTGGGGAAGCTGAAAGATCTGAAAGTGGATGAATAACCTGAACCAGGTGCAATGCACCCCAGGGTTCTGTGGCTGATAGCTGAGGAGATTGTGGAAGCAATTGGTGGTGATGTTTCAGGAATCATTGGAGTCAGGGAGGGTCCCAAAGGACTGGAAAATGGCTAATCTAGCGCTTCTATTTAAGAAAGGTGGGAAGCAGAAGACAGGAAATGATACACCAGTTAGACTGAGCTGGATCGTTGCTAAGATTTTAGATTTCATTTTTAAAGATGATATTGTGGAGTACTTCACAAAATAGGGCTGAGTCAGTATGACTTAGTTATGGGGATGACAAATCTGTTAGAATGCTTTGAAAAGGTAATGAGCGAGATAGATAAAGTGGTTATGATCTATTTGGATTTCTAGAAGGCCTTTAATAAGGTGCTGCAGAAGGTTACTAAACAAGATAAGAGCCCATGGTGTTAGGGGCAAGATACAGCATAGACAGCGCATTGAAAAACTGGTAGAAGTCAGAAAGTGGGGATAAAGGGGCCTTTTTAAGGATGGCATTGAGTGGCTAATGAAGTTCCACACGGGTACATATGGCAGCGTAACTATTCATGTTATATATTAACAATCTGGATGAAGGAACTGAGGGCATTTTTATTGAGTTGGCAGACGACACTAAAATAGGTTGAATACTAGATAGTGTTGAGGAGGTGGGTTGACTGCAGAAGGGCTTGGCAAGGTGTGTGGGCAAAGAAGTGGCAGTTAGAATTCAATCTGGGAAAGTGTGATGCATTTCGGTAGGAAGAATAGAGGCGTAGACTACTTTCTAAATGAGGCAAGTCTTCAGAAATCTGAAGCACCAAGGGACCAGGAAATTTTTAGTTGAGGATTTTCTTAAGGTTAACATGTAGTTTCAGGCAGTTAGGAATGCAAATGCAATGTTAGCATTTACTTAGGAGGGCTAGAATACAGAAACAGAAGTGTATTGCTAAAGTTGCATAAGGCTCTGGTCAGACTGCATTTGAAATATTGTGAGCTGTTTTGGGGCCCATATCTAACGAAAGGTGTGCTGACAGTGGAGGGCGTCTAGAGAAGGTTTACAAGAATGATTCTCGGGATGAAGGGCTCGCTATACGAGGAGCGGTGAGGACACTTGCATGTGTATTCAAAGCAATTTAGAAAGATGGTGGGAGGGGTTTGTGGTGGGAGGAGATTCTCATTGAAGCTTAGAGAATACTGAGCGGCCTGATTAGTGTGGACATGGAGATGTTTCCACTAGTAAAAAACTAAGACTCTAGAGCCCAGTCTCAGAGTGAGGGACGACCCTTTAGAACTGAGACCAGGAGGAATTTCGTCAGCCAGAGGATGGTTAATCTACGTGACTCATTGCCACAGAGGGCTGTGCACTGTATTTAACCCGGAGATAGATAAGGTTCTTGATTGCTAAGGGAATCAAGGATTACGGGCTTTGAATTTGCAATGTATCAACTTTGTTACTGATCGGGGGAGAAACCCCTAAAATATATCAAAAAACTACGAGTGCTGAAAATCTGAAGTAAAAACGTAAATTGCTGGAGAAAGTCAGCAGGTCTGGCAGTATCTGTAGAGAAACCCAGCGTTAATGTTTCGGTCCGGTAAACCTTCATCAGAGTTGGACAGCCCGTAATTTTGTCCCGCTGCACATCCCGGTAATAACTATGCAAATTGAGGATGATGCAGGCGCCGTTTCCCATTCGCTAAGCATTTAGAAAATTTCTGCTTTCCTCGGCCAATCCTAAACATAGGTGAATAGATTAGCCAATGAAAAGGGACCGCTTTTGGATTCCAACAAATGATATAAAAGGGGAGCTGCCCCGCGTAGCTATTCCATTGGAAGTTGTTTACGGCTTTCGAAAGTTTTGACAAGTAGAAGAATGTCTGGCCGTGGTAAAACTGGAGGGAAAGGTCGGGCTAAGGCCAAGACGCGTTCGTCCCGAGCTGGCCTACAGTTCCCGGTGGGCCGAATCCATCGCCTGCTGCGCAAGGGGCATTATGCAGAGCGGGTCGGGGCTGGAGCCCCCGTTTATCTGGCTGCCGTCCTTGAGTACCTGACCGCTGAGATCCTCGAGTTGGCGGGCAATGCGGCCCGGGACAATAAGAAGAGCCGCATCATTCCTCGCCACCTGCAGCTCGCCATCCGCAACGATGAAGAGCTCAACAAGCTGCTGGGTGGGGTCACCATCGCCCAGGGCGGCGTCTTGCCCAACATTCAGGCTGTGCTGCTGCCCAAGAAAACCGGGCACCCCAGCAAGGTCTACGCCTGAACTGGGGGGAGATCTGAGAAAACGAAGATCAATTCAACAAAACAAACCACAAAGGCTCTTTTCAGAGCCGCTCAATTCTTTCTAAAGAGCTTAATCCAGACTGTCTTAATGGGGGAATTTGATGAGTAGGCGCGTGGTTTACTAGTGATATGATTTTAACGAATTTCGAGAAATTATGGCTGTTGCAAAAAATCTTGACAAAGTTTTTGTCTAGCTAGACATTTGACAAAGTGAAAAACGAGAACCGCCGGAAGCAAAGTGATAGCGCCGTGACAGTTTTTTGCGGCGAACATCCGCCCTTTTATTTCTTGCCCTCTGTGGAGCAGTGTTTCCTTCCCCACCCCCATTTCACCCTAAATTACATGTACGCTCTGTATAAAATACTGACATCACTTTGTTAGAAAAATCCATTGGTCTGCGCTTCTTGACTGTAATAAAATGTAAACGGAATGTTTCGACCACTGAAGTCCGTAAATTCCACGCATTTGTAGTGGCCCAAATTCATTCGCGAGGAAGTGTAATACTCGGGCACACATTTTCATAATTTTTTTTTGTCTTCGTTTGCTCTCAAACCTCTAAATTTAAGGGGAGGGTGGGGGGGGCGGTATAGGAGCAAGGATTGGGTCGGGGGAGGATTCCTGAAGCCTACTGGCATAAACAAATAAATATAAATAATCTGGAGTTAAACTTTATAAACGTATGGTCACATAAGTGGGATTCACCGGCCATTAATGTTTTGGGGAACCTGTGACTCTATTAGTTTAATTTTGAATTGGAGGCCCTTGGCGCAACAGGAATGCATTTTGTGGCGGTCTGCCAGGGGCACTGAAAAGTAAAATAATGGAGAAAAAACATTTTACAACATGAAATCGATCATTCGGCTCAGCTGTTGCTGAGACCATTTACTTCAGCGCACACATTCAATTTTCACTCAAATTTGTGTTGTGCATATGCAAAAAAAAACAAAACTTCAAAGCATATAAGCGACATGTGTCGAAGCTTTATCCCGCCCCATTCCACATCTGAGCGATGTTCGGTTTTGGAGGAAATAAAGTCCATCTTTCCCTGAGTAATTGTGATATTTTATCCAACGTTGCGCTCGCTGTCCTTTAACAAGACACACAATTAAGTTGGGAGCTTTGACCTTTGCCTCTGTGAAGTTCACTTTCACATTCCCACCAAAAATGATTCTGCAATATAAATAGAGCCTTACAGTATCCAAAGAGGTATTCCGCAGGCTAGGTGGATTGGCCAAGCTAAATTGCCCATGGTGTCCAGGGATATGCAGGTGGGTTAGCCATGGGAAATACAGGATTACAAGGATAGGGTAGAGGATTGAGTGTGGGTGGGAGGCACTTGCGAGAGTGGACGATTAACTTTTTGGGCCGAATGAGCTGTTTCCACGCTGTACGGATTCTAAGTACACTGACTGCTGGCTCGTTATTTTTTTTTCAAAGTAGCCTTAAATACCCGACTTTTTGCTCGAAAGACTACAGTAGAAACTAATTTAAATCTTCGTATACCTAACAATAGCCATCATCATTTCGGCACTACAACCCTTCGCTGGAAAAATTCGTGGCTCTTAAAAGAGCCGTTGGTTTCGTTTCTGATGTAGTTAACAGTAAATTCAGGCGCGTTCCCCTCGAATACGGCGAGCTAAATGTATGTCTTTGGGCATGATGGTAACTCGCTTGGCGTGGATAGCACACAGGTTAGTATCTTCAAACAGTCCAACCAGATAAGCTTCGCTGGCCTCCTGCAGAGCCATGACAGCCGAGCTTTGGAAACGCAGATCGGTCTTAAAATCCTGGGCAATCTCACGGACCAGGCGTTGGAAAGGTAATTTACGGATCAGCAACTCCGTGGATTTTTGATAGCGGCGGATCTCCCGTAAAGCCACAGTACCAGGTCGGTAACGGTGAGGCTTCTTCACCCCACCGGTAGCCGGAGCACTTTTACGAGCAGCTTTAGTGGCCAGCTGCTTACGAGGAGCTTTCCCTCCAGTGGATTTACGCGCGGTCTGTTTAGTCCTAGCCATTCCCCTGTTCCTCCTAATTCTTAACGATAACCCTAACTGCAGAGAACACAGCGCGATGCCTGTTTTTATAGGAACAGGTGAGTCTTCGCCGTCTTCTCATTGGCTGCGAATGCGATAAAGCTCCACGTTCGATTGGAGGGTTTTTCAATCCGCACGGACAGCACCCCCCCCCAACCCAAACCCACAAAAAGAAGCGGGAAAAAAACCAATACTTGCAAATTAAAATAGGCGGGTTTCCAGGCCAGGACCCGGCTCAACAATAACAGATTGCTATCTTTAAGTCTAAACCATGGCACACTGACGGGTGTAACGCGGCGTTACCTACTTGCTACTCAAACGGGCAAATATATCGCTGGAAACGTGGAACACAAAGAAAATGCTAACAGTATACAACTTGTGGAATTTGTTTCACTTGTAGCAGCCGGGACCAAGACAAAGTTATCAGTGACCACAGCCTATTTAATGTGAAATTGACATTGGTTACGTAGCCAATCAATATAAACATACAAGTGAAACTAAAACGCAGGTAAAATTGGAACTAAACGAAAGCTACACGCCACTCAAAAGGCAAACGTACTGCTGGAAATGTGAAGTACAAAGAAAATGCTGCTACCATTCTGTAACAAACATTTGTTTATTTCACTTGCGGTAACCAGAAAGATGACAGCAAGCCATCAGGAAACACAATCTATTTTAAGTTAAAGGCACAACTTAAAATTAAAACCAAAACGGTGATAAACTGTGACTAATCAAAGCAGCGAGCCAGTGGACAACCAAAATTCGAGCTGCCCGGTATATAGTAAATGAGCAGTAGCTCCCTCTGGATACTTTTGAGTGGCTCTGAAAAGAGCCTTTGGGTTAATAGTTATTTTATTCTTAATATTGTCTGGCGAGACGCTTCATTTGCAGCTGGTGTACTTGGTGACCGCCTTGGTGCCCTCGGACACAGCGTGTTTGGCCAGCTCGCCGGGCAGCAGCAGGCGGACTGTGGTCTGTATCTCCCGGGAGGAAATAGTCTGCCGCTTGCTGTAGCGGATGAGGCGGGAAGCCTCGCAGGCGATTCGCTCGAAGATGTCGTTGACGAACGAATTGATGACACTCATAGCGGAGGAGGAAATACCAGTGTCAGGGTGGACTTGCTTCAACACTTTGTAGATGTAGATGCTGTAGCTCTCCTTCCTGCTCTTCTTACGCTTCTTCTCACCTTTGACGCGCTTCTTGGTTGCCGCTTTTTTGGGACCTTTTTTGGGCGCCATACCCTTAGCCGCTGCTTCAGGCATGTTGTGAACGAACGTGGAGTTTTGTGGTGAACAGAGTCAACTTGAGTGCCTGCTTTAATAGCTCCGTGCATGCAAATGAAGGATCAGAGAGTGGGGAATTCCTATTGGCAGAGAGTATGATATTTGAATGTATCCATTGTGCGCTAAGAACAATGGGTACCAATGAACCAATCAGAAGCACTCCAGATTTGCCGCCAAACTCCCAGGCTTTCAGACAGGCTCTGAGGGGGTGTGGGCAGTGACAGCACATGGAATCCAACATAACTCATAGGTACCAAAAAGGGGAAGGAGAAAAGGTTCACATACCAAGAATCTGTGGAGGGGAAATCACAGTAAAATATTTATGTCCAATTTGGTTTTATAGTGCCATTCAGTTTTTACACCAGTGAAAGAGGTCCTTCAGCCCATCATCTATGCGCCAGTCATCCAGCATTCATCTGTTCTATTCCTATTCTCTAGCACTCGGTCCATAGCCTTATGCTAGGGTGATTCACTTGCTCAATATCTTTAATGCATTCAGGGTTCCCACTTCTAGCACTTTTTCAGGCAGTGAATTCCATGTAGATGAAAATTGCCATACTCAAATCACCTCAAAATCACCTAGTGTTAAAACTGTGTCACCGGTTATTGATCCCATTATTTATGCAGCCTATTTATGCAGCACAGAACTTTGTACACCTCAATCAGATCCCCCAATTGGCCTTTGTTGTTCCTCTGAAAATAATCCCAACTTATCCAGTCTATTTCCTTAGGACTATCCAGCCCTGTTTCTGTCTACAAATGCTAATTGTTGCCAGCCTTTGCTGCTTCTGGTTCAGATACTTAATTTTCATGTGATATGTAGTAGCACTATTAAATCTTGCCATATACCGCACTAAATTCATCCTTGGATGTGGTGATCTTTTTGGAATGCAAAGGAATATTCAAACTGAACCAATCAGGAATCAAAAACTAAACAAGGCAACCTGGTGCAAATGCAATAGTGTGATCACCCAGCTGAGCAAAATATGCAATTTAGCTTATAGAATCATAGATTCAGACTACTCAGAGGAATGAAAATAGAAAGTCCTGGAGAAATTCAGCTGGTCTGGCAGCACCTATGGAGAGAAGAGAGGGCTAATGTTTCAAGTCTGATATGATTTCTTTAGTTTTGAGATGCTGACAGACCAACTGAGCTTTTCCAGTACTTCCTGCTCATTGTTCAGACCTCCAGCATCTGCAGTAGTTTGCTCCTGCAAAGAATGACCCTGTATGCACATGATAGTACTTTACAGGATTTCTCAAATTTGTTTCACCGCCAAGTTATTTTTCCACAGCCCTGAAATATTCTCCTCTTCCAGTAATTGTTCTGGATCTGGTAATTGCCTCTGATCTGGTTCCACCAACTATTAAATAATTCTAGTCAATGTCACTGAATGTTGTACTTGTTGTGTAACTGAGGATTGATGTAATATATTTTCTTGTGCCCCACTCAAGTCCAATTTCATTAAGAAGGTAAAAATAGGGTGCTTGTGGAGCAGTGGTGGAATCCCTACGTCTGAGCCAGGAGTCCCAATTGCTCTAAAGTGAGTTATAACGTCTCTGAATGGATTGATTAAAAAATATTTAAAAATATCTGCGGTTCTTAAATTCCACTCATTATTCGCACCCCTTACAAATCAGAAAATTATGCCTTGTTCAAAGAAGTCAGTCATTTTCTTGATTACATAATTGACAGCCAGATCAGAGGCGTGATGAGAAGACATGCAGTGAATTAATCTACTGCCTGAAAGAGTGACAAAATTGCATTTATCAGAAACTTTCAAAAGGTAATTGGACAATTACTAGAAGAGGAGAATATTTCAGGGCTGTGGAAAAATAACTTGGCAGTGAGACAAATTTGAGAAATCCTGTAAAGTACTATCATGTGCATACAGGGTCATTCTTTGCAGGAGCAAACTACTGCAGATGCTGGAGGTCTGAACAATGAGCAGAAAGTACTGGAAAAGCTCAGCTGGTCTGTCAGCATCTCAAAACTAAAGAAATCATATCAGACTTGAAACATTAGCCCTCTCTTCTCTCCATAGGTGCTGCCAGACCAGCTGAGTTTCTCCAGGACTTTCTAATTTCATATTTCTGAATAGTCTGAATCTATGACTCTATGAGCTAAATTGCATATTTTGCTCAGCTGGGTGATCACATTATTGCAATTGTAGCTCATCCAAGACTGCTGCTGGGTTAGCAATCAAGCAGCATGGACAATCGAAAGAGCATGGGTAGTGGTAGAGAGGCAAAGCCTTTTGTCAAGTGACCCTGTATCTTTGAATGGTGCCACCACAGTGCAGCATGTAGATAATATTGTGAATCCTCGAGGGACTCCTGAGGTCATAATGCAAGGATCGAAAGAGACAATTTGACAGAGAGGTTGCGTATTTCTATTTATTCATTCATGGGATGTGAACATCACTAGCTAGGCCAGCACATATTGCCCATATACTGCCCATCCCAACTGGCCCAGACAGAAGTCACAAGTCAACCACATTGCTGCGAGTCTGGAGTGTCATGCCATCCTGACGAGGTAATCATGGCAAGTTCCTTTCCCTGAAGGTCTTAGTGAGCCTGATGGGTTTTTACAACAATCGATAGCTGTTATATGGTCACAGTTAGGCTTGCTTTTTATTCCAGACCTTTTTTTTTTAATTGACTCAAACTTCGCCTTGTGTCATAGTGGATTATAAACCCATGTCCCCAAAGCTTTAGTCTGGGGCTTGTGGTTACTAGTCAAGTGATATTACCACTGTGTCCCTGTCTTGCCTTATATTGCACTCTGCACTCACTTGGGAACAATGGAGAACAGTCCTCCACTGACCTGGACATCAGAAGCAAGGTGGACAAAGATGCAACACTAAAGTTTGCAGGGAGTTTGAGGAAATTCAGGAGGAATCAGAAGAGCAACATGGTCAGAGCCACTGATAGTGATGTTCTTAATGTCTGTTGGAGTTGTGTGGGTATTGTGAACATGATCTGAATTAATCAGCTTTACAATTCTTAAATACAACAAAGCTGCCTAGGACCCTGGTTTCAAAATACAGACGGTCGAATATTGTACAATTGAGTACCCTTACAACCTTTCTCCTTTCCCCACACAGTTACTAACTTTGGTATAAGGGGATATTCACAGTGCTGGCTGAATGTGAAACCAAGACATTCCCTGTCACCCAAAATCATCTGCTTCTACCTCCATCACATTGTTCACTATTAGTCAATTCTAAAGTTAGTTGAAGTCACAACTTGAATGCCAATATTATACATAATACTAAATTTATTGTAACATGTAACAGCACAAATGTCTGCCTAATCTTGAAACACCTAGGGTTCCCAAAAATCTTTTTATTTGTAATTTTTCTGAGAAAAATATTAGAAACATATGATTAGCCCCGTTGATAGAGGCAAGTTTTTATTACTGCAAAAGACACAAATTCTTTGAAGGAAGTTTGTCAAGTTAAAACATGAGATAATAGTGCATGCTTGCACCCCGACAAATCCCATCACTATCCGTAACCCCCCTCAAATACCTCCCATCTGTGAAAGGCACTTGGGTGCAAAGGAAAAGTGCAAGAGAGACAGGCAGACAACTCCCTCAACTAACCAGAGCAACTTGCTGCCACTTTAGGCCAAGCAACAAGGAGGTCCTCTGATCTACTGGTCCACCTTTACCCTCAATGGCTAAGAGACATCAGGAACATGGGGCAGAAATGAAATCTCTCTTTATATGTCCTCAATGTCATTAATCTGTCATAAAACTTAAAAATACCCTCACCTAGCCAGTAACATCCACCAATGCCTACTCATCCCATTTCCTACTGAGCCCCTTGACTATGACTTTGCCATCTCCAACGAGGCTCCCTTAGTGGATCTCAACTCCTCCACACTCCTTAAACATTAGCTCACCCCAAAAATATCTCATTATATCCTAATCTGTGCTGATTCTGATACATCCAGTCCTCACCAACCTCCATAAACAACTTGAGGTTTCATTAAGACGTATTTAAGGTTTTCACCCAAATCCTACACAAACCCATGAGAACACTTGCTCCAAGTTACACACCACGCTGACTTGAAAGTGTATTGCTGTTCCTTCACTGCCAGTGGATCGAAATCCTAGAATTCAGTTCTGATGAGTGTTGTGAGTGTCCTTACACAACATGCATAGCAGAAATTCAAACAGGCAGCTTTTCTGGAGCAATTAGGGATGGGCAGCAAATGCTATCCAGTGATGTTCACAGCCCAAGAACAAATGAAAGAAAAGACTTCATGTGATTCTCAGTCTAAGTTCCACTGCTCCTCTCAATTAGCACAATTAGAAATCATTTGCTTGAGGCCTCAGCAAGAGTACTTGAAATGTATTTTGAGTAGAATGAATCCAATTTCTAATCCCTACAATTTGTACAGGGGGATGACAGCCTAGTGGTGTTGTCACAGAACTATTAATCCAAGCACCAAGAGTAATGTTCTGGGGAACTGGGTTTGAATCTTGCCACAGCAGATGATAGAATTTGAGTTCAATAAACACCTGGAATTAAGAGTCTTATGATGGCTATGGATCAATTATCAGGAAAAACCCATTTGGCTCACTAATGTCTTTCTGGAAGGAAACTGCCATCCTTACCTGGTCTGGCCTTCATGTGACTCCAGACCCACAGCATCTGGTTGACTCTTTACTGTCCTCTGTGCAATTATGGAAAGGCAATAAATTCTGCCTAGCCACATCTGGTGAATGAATTTTTAAGAAAAAGGCAAAGGGCTAAATTGAGGAGCATCAACAATGCTTGGGCTTGCTTGAAAATTACAAGTATGAGCAATGTCTGAGTATTCCTCATTGCCAGAAAACCTCAGAAGATTCCTCCAAATAGCAATCTACTTCTTATTCCAAAGGCTCAACAACTCTATCCAGTGAAAACCAGAATCATTTTGGAAAAATAACAACAAAGTTTAATCTCAGCTGTATATTTACTTAACTCACTTGGCTTG